TAGAAGTCAAACATGGGGATTGTACAGAAAGTCTGAAGAACTGGTAAATCAACTATTTTATTATAAACAAAAACATAACTTCAAGTCTCATATTAGAAGAAATTATTTTTCAGCACATAAAATATGGAAACATTAGAAATGGAAAAGTAAAGATCCTACCCAAACTTCAAGAGCTTTGGAAATTCAACATTAACTTTCACACCAACTATTTAGGTATTCTGCTTTTCAGTTTAAAAGGAGCAATAAACTTGCTTGCCCTTTGCATTCTGGTGGTTTGATAATACCATCTAATTAGGATATTGCCAGCAAGTATTACAAAATAGCATTAAATATTACAAGCTACAAATTGTTAGTTATATTAGAAGACAGATATGCAAAGCAACTTTGTCCCAAATAGTAAACATAAATATATTGATGTAGATATCAGACCTGAAGCCACAGAAAAGTTAAAGTCACATCTCCTTTCTGGGTGAAGGCAGGGAGAAGAGGCTGATCTATTAGTTGCCAGGCCTTGCCATCTCTTCTTATTACACACACCATCCCAAACCAACCAACACAATTTCTAGTATTATCAATCAAAAGGCATTGAAGAGCAATCCCTTCATTCCTTCCATGATGGATTTCCCATGATTTAAAAAAAAAAAACAAGCAAAGAAGCCAAACGAAAGCAGGGAAGAAACTTTCAATACTCCCTGATGTTTTGAGGAAGGAGCAATAGCACTAGCACTTAGCAATAGCACTTAGATATATGTACCGCTTCACAGTGCTTTTACAGCCCTCTCTAAGAGGTTCATAGAGTCAGCCTATTGCCCCCAACAATTTGGGTCCTCATTTTTACCCACCTCAGAAGGATGGAAGGCAGAGTCAACCTTGAGCCTGGTGGGATTTGAACTGCCAAATTGCAGGCAGCCGGCAGTCAGCAGAAATAGCCTGCGGTACTGCACTCTAACCACTGCGTCACCACGGCTCTTATAAGAGCTGTTTTTGCAATTAGGCTAGTTTTTATGCGCAACTGAATGCAGACAAATAATCCCCATACATATTTTTTGAAAGATACTTCAGAAATAATTTACATAGATGAAAATAAAAAAATTGCAACTAATTCAGTACGCCTATGCATGAAAAGTATCAACCCAAACCTATAAGGCACATCCAAATAGTTGTCCAAAACTTAGGAAGACAAAGTTGTTCATTACCAGGCCTGTTTAATTGCAAACATCTTATGGTAAATTCACCATGTGCCATCAGATGAACCTTTGGGAACCTCTTTGTCCATTATGCCATTGACATGAAAAGTGAAGGCTGCTGCAAAAGAAAATATCCCCTCTGAGAAGATTACTTTTACTGATCTCAGGTTCCTAAAAATGTCAGAAACATAGTCTGTGCCTCTGCTTGTCTAACAGCATCTCACCCAGGGCTGTCAAACTCACAGCCTGTGGGCCGGATGTATCACGCCCTGGCTACACCCATGCCCGGTTTAGCAAAGAGGGAAAAGGTTGTGATGCGTCACTGACAATGCCTTGACAACACAAGTTTGACACCCCTGATCTAACCAAATCATCACCTTTAAATTTAGTATAAACCCCTAAACCAAGATTCATAAAGCCCAGAGCATTTAGTTAGCTAAGTGGGAGACTTCACTGATTTAATTTAGAATCTTTGCTATATGTCAGCATTCTCAACCTTTTGAACATTTTAAGATGTGTGGACTTCTACTCCAAGAATTCCCAACAAGCTTGAAAAACACTGTTATGTATAATCACTGCTTTCCTTCGTCCCCGTTGTCCTCTTTTCTGTTGCTTTGCTATTAAAAAAAAGAGGGAATTCTCACTAACTCTTTCTCATTTTCAAGTCTGCATAACTAGTTTACAAAGTTTTTGCTCCACCCTTTACTTCGGGGCAAAATGTTCCCAAGTACATTGTTTCCCTTTCCTCAACTGAAAAGCCTTGACTTTTATTAATTAGGAGAAGGAACCAAGAGCTAAGATGGTTCAGGAAGTCATGTCAGCCTGGTGAGAATATCCTGCTCTCTGAGAACCTTAATAGTTGTGTTCATTTTTGTAGATATACAGTAATTACAGGTATAAGTTCAATAAATACTTGTAGAACCCACAATTCCCCATCATCAGAACTATTATTTATAGTGTCTGTACATACCGTTCTTTAAAGGTATAAAGGGAACATTTTCAGTCAAGAGTGACTGAGATTCTAGTTTTGCAAGTACCAGAAGAATGAAGTCTACTTTTAATTATTTCCTTGTGTTGCTGAAGTGCGTAAGGAAGTACAACCAAGCTTTAGCAAATTGCTTATTATAGTATATGTACCCTAACTTTCAATTTAGGCAAAATATTCATCTTAGTTCCAAATCAGCCAGATATTTTGAGGAAGTATGAGCAATAGGGAATGGTGATATCTTATCCCTTCCTGCTCTCTTGTCTGACTTCTATATAGTACATGCAGGGGTGGGCTGCTACGGGTTCGGGAGAACCCATAGCTATTATGGTGGGTTTGGAGAACCTCCAAATCCCACCTATTGGCCCCGCCCACCCCTCCCCTCCCAGGAATCTCCACGTGGCCGGTTTTGGATGCGAAGTAAGTGCCGAACCCCCATGAACCTCCAGCAGCCCACCCCTGGTAAAGACCTACATTGATCCTCATGAATAAATCCTGTCAAAATTATTTTCAGTCTCTCAGCTAAAATAGTTACGAATAACTTGCTGCCATTATTCAATAATGATTTTGATGTATAGTTTCCTGTTAAAGTCAAATCTTGCCCTTCTTTATGTATTAGTGTTTTATTGCTCTTTCCAGCTCTCTGGCATCTTTCTTCCCTGTAAGTTCATGTTTTATAAAGTCATTCTCAAAACATTTATAATCCATCTGGTACAGGGACCTTTCCTAGTTTAATCTTTTTATTAGCTTCAGAAACGTATTTGCCTCCATTCCTTTGTAATGCTTGGTAAATTGTTTCTTTAGGTATTCATTTATTTTTTCCAGTAAGATGTCACTTCTTTTATATAAATTGGAGTCATATTAATGGAATGATTTTTGTACAGCCGCATTGTCCATTAATACAGTATTTTCCCTCATGTATTTGAATAACTTTTTATTTTCTCTTTTTGTATTTTATATGCGAGCCACTTCCATGGTTTGCCAACTCAATTTTTTGCCTTACGTAACTCATTTTTCCCCCCATTTTTCTTACTTTTTAACATAAGTAATTGTCATTGTAATAGTTTGACTTATTAACAACTTCTCTGGAGATTTCTTTAGTTCCTCTTTTCTATGTCATTCAAAATACCCTGTTTCTCTGAAAGTAAGACCTCCCCAGATAATAAAGCAATCGGACTTTTGAGTGCATGCGCTAAAATAAGCCCTCCCTGAAAATATTACAACACAGCAGCAGCCATGAGGTGACCATGCTCGCCGTCGCCTGCACCTAAAAATAAGACCTCCCCAAAAATAAGACCAAGCGCTTGTTTCGGGGGTCAAAAGAAAATAAGACCCTGTCTTATTTCCAGGGAAACACAGTAGTTTGTTTTCATTTCTCCTTAAATTCATTGTGTTGTCTAAAATAAAATAATCTCTAATAAAACTTTACCTGAATCCCAAACCTATTTTTAAATTAATACCTTTATATTAATTATTTTTAAAAAACATTTTTCTTTTTACAAACCTCCACTATTGCTTCTACTATTGCAAGTAATCCATAATGAAGCTGAAAGTTTTTTTAAAAAAGCAATATTTGTAACACTTGGTCCAGTATCATCCCTATCAGTTTCCCATCGTCTCAACCTTCTGATGAGGTTTCTGTGTAGTCTTCTCTGGCATCTATATTTGACTGTCCTCCGATTCCTATTTGAATTTTTCTAGAAATTTCCTCACCTTTTGGACTATGTTTAGTCATAACCTCTGCTGTTTGAAAGTAAAAAACATTCCATTTGTTCTCACTTTCTGCTTTTTCTGCTTTAATCTCAATCAATACACTTTTTTTGTCCTATGCAAAATTGTAATAGGATTTATTATTTATCTTCAATCTTGTATTAAAATGTTGCTGTAGAACTTGATCCCATGTTTTCTTCCTGACAAAGTGCACCAGGACAAAGTGGAACATCTCTTGTTCTTGCAAATTTATATATTTCATCAGTATCCTCTTTTTCTCAATCCCAACAAAATCCCAAGGCTTTGATAATCTTTTCTTCAGCTTCATCATCATCCTCTGGGATTGCTTTAAATCTCAGATAAAATTCCTTGTCTCTCAATTCCAATAGAGCTAGTTTATTTGTCTTTCCAAATATTTCTTCTGCAGTTTTTCATTTTGTTAATTTCTGTAATCACCTCTTTCATCTTTACAAGTCTTTCATCCATTTCCCCCCAAAAAACCATAATAGAATATTCTGGTGAGGATTTATAGTGAAGTAGATGTCCCTGAAGGACTGGGGATAGCAATGCAGCAAAAATCTGCAACCAGATCAATAGAGATCAGAAGACACAGTATTTCTGGATATTGTGAGATCCTGGGCTTGCACTCTTGACAGCTTCTCTTTTTGAGTAGACTACAGGAACTGAGGTTTTTGTGGTTGGATCATGAGGGATTTCAACCACAACCATAACTATAGTCAACTGTACAATATCTCGTTTCTTAACCACTTTGAGCTATACGGTAATTAATTTAGAGCGAAAGAGAGATTTTCTAAGTAGCAGGATAAGATTCCACTTGGTGAGTTACAATTCTTTCCAGATTACAAAGGAATGAAGATTTTTTTTTAAAGAACTTATTTTTGGGGTAAAAAGCTTAATAAGGAGTCAACGTAAGAAAGTTTAAAACAGATAAAAGGGACATTTATTTTGAAAATTTTTTTTTGTGAAAATGCTTTTGAACAAATTGGAATTAAATTAGACAAATGAACCAGACCTTCATGGGAATGTTTTTTTTTATTATTAACGAGTGCAGACAATTGGTGGATTTTACAAAACAAAAGATAATGGTAATATGAGCCAGACTGTGATGTTGATTGTAACTATGATGATATTGATTGTGATGCTGACTGTAACTATGGAGTGCCATTAGAGATGAAAATATTAAAGGCACAGGAAGAGAAAAGAGAAAGAAAAGGGGAAGCTTGCCTTTTCTTTTCCCCTTGTTTAAGACACTTTCCTTTTTGGATTATAATATTATAATGACAACCAGAAAAGTGGTGAGAATGGAAGGGAGGGGAGGATTGCTAGAGCTACCTAGAGGGAAAAGAATTACAGCAGATTTGGTTCAGAAAATGGTCCAGGAATTGAGAAATAAATTAGCTGAATCACTTGATGCTAAACTGAATAAATCACTTGAGAACAGAAATGATCTACTACTACATATATCAGCAAGCATGCAACATACAAGTCATTCTTTTGCACATAAAAAAGCTTCAGCTACGAAAAAAACTCTTTAGTGCATACATTTTTTTTAAATCTTTGAGCATGTTCTTAACCATGTTCTTAACTTCACTGCTATAGAGTGATCAGCATCCTTACATGACATCCCCATCTTGCCATCTCAGAATCCTGCAGACAAGTCTTCATAAGGACAAGCAGCAATGACAGGGGGACTGGAGGAAGGGAGCTCCAATTACCTAGCACCAACTAAAAATATCAACCACTTCTGCGGGACAGATCTGTAAAATTACGTCTGTGTGTCCCGTGTTATACAATCTTATCTTCTGTCTTCCCATTCACTATACACATTTTCTCAATTTCTAATAGTTTTTTTCAGAACTGCTACGTAGAAGTCCAACTTCTAATTTCCTACCAGAAAAAGAAGAGAGCTTCAACAGCACCAGAGATAAGGAGAAGGGAAATGACTTATAAGCCAATCGTTGAGTTGTTAACTCATTCTAAGAAAGGAAGTTTTTACTTTGGTACCAGTCTGTCCTTTCAATCCTCCTAAAATCTTCTTCCAACCAAGAACACATGGATTGGGGTGTTTTATCAGCTGCTAAGGAGAGAGACAGAAAACAGAGGAGAGAGAAAGAAACTTTTGCAGAGGAGTGGAAAAGGACATGGAAAAGCAGCCTCCAAGGTCAGGGGTGGGTGGGGGAGGAAGGTTTTGCCATATGCCTTGAATATATTGTTTCAAAAGACAATACTGGAATGAGTTAGTCACCCATTTAAGCATCCTGAACACATTGCTTGGTAAGTTATGTGGCTGTGCAAAGCATTTGAAAAGGGGGGCTTTGTAAAACGAGTGAATTATTCACCCTCAAAGCATGAAGCAGCTGCAATATCCAGATAGCTTAGTTTGGCTGTTCTGAGGGGCAACCCTGACTGTTCACATCTAATGTATGCACAGAAAGCCCGTCTCATTCGACTATCAGCCAAGCAAAGCAGCTGTGTATGCACACACCTGAGCAGAGAACCAGGAAAAAGCCTTCAAAACACCTGGCCTTTCAGAGGACACAGCTGCTTTAATGTTTCACTTGTGCCAATGCACTTTGCTAAGCCCCCTCCCCGGTTTCATGCTTTGCACAGTCCTAATAGCTAGTAAACAGATCAAATATATGACTAGGTTGTTGGAGAAAGGAGAAAAGAAAGATCAGGGAAACCAGTTTTCAGCCAGTCTTGTGGCTTCCATCACCAGTCCGAATTTTTCGAGCCAAGACGGTCCCTTTGGCTACTTTCTTGCAGTTACTGGCCAAGCCAAGGAAGCACATAAGATCAATGAAACTAGTAGTGAAATTCCACCGCCAGCCATATTCACTCGTTGAGTAATCGAAGGGGAAAGTATGATGGTAATTATGGAAGCCTTCCCCTAAAGAGAGAGCAAAACAAGAAGAAAATTGTAAGAAACGAAGCCCATTTTCCCCTCCTTTCCCTAGGAGTAGCCTTTGGGAAGTAGCTAACTCTGCTCAGCGTTCCCATTCTTGTGACACAGGAAATTCATTTACCTGAAACTGGACAATATTACAGATTCCTGCATTGTAGTCCTTTATTTTATATTTACCCACAACATTTACTAGCCCCTCTTCATTATAAAATGCTGCTAAAACCAGGGGGGAGTAACATCATAAACCATTTAAAAGAGAAGAGAAACAAAAGATGATAACAACCACAGTACAAGGGGTGGGCTGCATAGCTAACATTCAGTGAACCTCCAAATCCCATCTCTGGCTGGCTCCGCCCACCCACACCCTCCTAGAAGTCTCCACGCAGCCCATTTTGGATACAAGGTAAGTGCAAGGTGCTCGCGGAGGGGGAAAAACGGGCATCCCGGAAGGCCTCCAGAGCCTGGGGGAGGAAGTTTTTGCCCTCCAGAGCTTGGAGGAGGTGAAAATCCCCCCCCCCCAGTGGTGCAGGAGGCCGACTAGGAGGCCACAATGGCCACGCCTACCCAGCAACAGCCAGAGAACCTGTTGCTGAAAATTTTGAAGCCCACCCCTGCACAGCACCAACTCAAAAATCCTGGTTGGGCAAGAAAGATGGTGGTTCATGTGAAAAGCTTACACCTCTGAGCAGAGAGAGAGTATTGCAATCAGGAAATATGCCCCTTGTTTTCCCCCCGAAGGAAGCCAACCCAAGGCAGAACCACCAAGAGAGGGCAGTGTTGAGATGGGAACGCAAAGTTTTTTGATTTCCTTATCACCATCTTAGGCTTTCCTGAGATTTGCAACAGTGGTTGCATCTATTGTTGCCTTCCTGCCACCATTAACTTTAACTGACTTTAATTAACTAAGCATCAGCACAGATTTAAACTCATCTTTAAGCTCATCTTTTTATCCATACCACTACAGCACTAACTGGGTTAAACATGATTCCTTTTCAGTGAGTTTTAAGTGGTGATCAGGATTTTAAAAAAATAAATAAAAAGGTCCGATTTTTTAAAAATTTAAATCAGATTTTTTTTATCATATGTATTTTAATCAAATGCTTTTGGAATAAAAATCTATCTAGAGGTAGTTTTCTATTTAAGATACATTGATAACCAGCTGTCCCATTAAAGTGAATGGGACTGTCGGTGTGTTAACAGCGGGTCAGAGGAGGAGCTGCCGTGGGACAGAGATGACAGTTGCTCTTTAAAAATTATGATTTAAATCGAGTTGATTTAAATCAAGCCTTTTTGTTAGTGATTTAAATCAACGTGATTTAAATCAAATCCACCCTGGTGGTGATTTACTATTGGAATTATGATTAGAACATAGAATCTTAGGGCCGGAAGGGACCTCAGATGTTGCATAGTCCATCTCTGCTCAAGGCAGGAGACCTTATACGATTCTGCTCAAATGGTTGGTCTGGTCTATTCTTGAAAGCTCCAGTGATTCAGCAACCACAACTCCAGGAGGCAAGCTGGTTAATTGTTCTGTCGGAAAATTTCTCCTTATTTCTAGATTGGATCTCTCTTTAACAACCTCCCACCCATTACTTTTTGTCCTGCCCTCACCGAAAGCAAGATTTCCATTGCCAGATTTATATGTTCACAACAAAATGTTGATATGAAATCTATGTTTTACAACCAAATTCCCCCTATGGTTGCTGGGCCAGGATGACGCTGAGAAAAAAGGAGCTATGTTGTGGTGGCGCAGTGGTTGGAATGCGGTACTGCAGGCTACTTCTGCTGACTACCAGCAGTTTGATTCTCAATGGCTCAAGGTTGACTCAGCCTTCCATCCTTCATTTTGACTAGGCATTATTGTTTTTGCAATGAGAATGGAGGCTTTGTTTACTGTTCCAAGGGAACAATGAAACCTCCACTCCGAAGAGCCTGACATGATATGGAATGATAGTGGTCATGGAGATGGCCTCTCGATACGAGAAAAGGGATTGCCATTCCCACAGAACCAAAAAGAGAGACATTTCAGGAGTTAACACCAGTGAGAAACTAGCTACTCTATAGTCTCAGAGTCAGTGCTATTGAGTTAGGAGTCAACGGGTTTAGTTGGAGAAGATCTCTTGAAGAGCTGCAGTGGCACAGTAGTTAGAGTGCAGTACTGCAGGCTACTTCTGCTGACTGCCAACTGCCTGCAATTTGGCAGTTCGAATCCCACCAGGTTCAAGGTTGACTTCCATCCTTCCAAGGTGGGTAAAATGAGGACTCAGATCATTGGGGGCAATATGCTGAGGCTGTAAACCGCTTAGAGAAGGGCTGTAAAGCATTGTGAAGCAGTATGTAAGTCTAAGTGGTATTGCTATGTCTACCTTATTTGAAAAACATCTCACAACACCCAAGGATCGTTGTGACACTAAAGACTGCTTGAAGGCCAATTGAAGCACATCAGAAGGGAATTTTCGAAGGGGAGGAGAGGGAGGAGAAGAGCTCTTGTTGTGTTACCATCCCTGTTCTTCCCAACACTTGAGGGGGAAAAAATATCTGTCCAATATTGTATTTTGGGGCGGAGGGACAAAACAAGTATCTTAAAGCTAGATAAGCTTTTTGAGACTCTCCTTTTAGCTCTTAAAACAACCTCACCCTGAACTGGACCCATTTTTCTTGTTTCTTGCTGAAACAGACTTAAGCAGCTTAAGCCACTCATTTCACCACAAAAGCCAACCTGCCTATTGCACGGATATGAAGTCCCTCGGCCTAAGCGAAATGCTGAACAGGAAGGACTTGAAAAGGCTGTAAGCAGAACAAGCTCATCTTCTCCAATAATCTCCAATCCTTCCTACTAAAACAGGACTTGAACATTATATCATCCGCTGGCAGGATTCAGATCTGTATTTCCAATCGGGGGGGAGGGGGGATTGGATTGCATCCAAAATGGACCGCATGGAGACTCTTGGGAGGGGCGGGAGGGCCTGCCAGTCCTTGCAACTACCAGTTCAGTAAACCAGATGTAAAATTAACATAATCTTTCTCTTGGTTCCTTTGGAAAAAGGCTCTGCAGGTGGTGGGGAAAGCCCTTGTCCCATAATGGAGGGTCTTTTAAAAACCTGCCACGGTGTTGAAGCATCTTATGTAAATATTCCCACCTTTGCTTTGTGCAATACAGATTCTCCCCTACGTTATGTGGATATTGCTATTCCCTGCAACAACAAGGGAACTCAGTTGGTCTGATGTGGTGGGTGTTGGCTCCAGAAGTCCTATGAATGCATGGCGCCATTTCCCGTGAGCATCCACGGGAAGTTATGCCTGATAGCTCTATTTCTACCGAGACCCTGGAGGGATTGAAAAAGAAGAGCAGGCTGCAGCTGAGAAAGCAGTTACTAAGGAGGAGTTCCAGGGTGGATGGACAGCACCTGCCCCTGAATTCACTGCACCTCCACAACCGGAGGTGTCTGATTGGTCTGAAGGGGTACAAGTGCCTTCTGTCCCAATTCAGCCCAACCCCACTGAGGACTGGAGTTCACAGATTGCCACTGAAGACTGGTCTGCAGCTCCCACAGCTCAGGCTAGTGAGTGGGTTGGTACTGCCACAGAATGGCCCTGGTTAAGCAATAGCAATTCAAGAATGACAACTAAAGAATAAAATATCTTCCTTAGTAAAAAAAAAACAAAAAACCTGCCATATATGAAGGGGGGATGAACTGTTCAAGCAAGCAGAGGAAGGAAAGATTAGATGTTTTCTATCACTTCTAGAATGGCTTTGAACTTCATTAGGAGTTCAAATGGAGCAACTCATGGCGCCCGGCAGGTTTCTTTACATACCCAAAGCTCCAAAGACCACGAAGTGATTTTCCCTGGGGTTGATGTGACGATCGTATGGCCGATTGCCATACATGTGTGCCATGCTGTTCACCAACCAACTGGCATTGAGGGTTGACGTGTAGCGGAGAATAGTCAACAGGTAGCTGATGAGAAAGCTTTCTCCCCAAAAATACCAAGGAACAAAGGAAGGGAGCGCGAAGCACATTAGCACCACTGAGGTCTTGTAATATCTGAGAAGGAAAAATAATGCATTAATATACCAAGCTATGAAGCAGCATGGAAATCACAGCAGTCACTCTTGATTTCTACATTTTCAGTTAAGAAACTACTTGTGATACTGCTCTGGATGGCAAAAAAACAGCATCTAGTACTAGAGATGGCGAACCTTTTTCGCACCAAGTGCCCAAACCAGAACATGTGTGCATGTGCCCGCATCAGAGAACCAGAAACTTGAAGACCAGTTGGCTAGCGCACATGGCCATTTTGGGGGCCATTTTCGGGCCATTTTTAGGCTAGTTTTGGGGCCGTTTTCTAGCAAAAACCGGCCTGAAAACAGCCCTAAAAACAGCCCAGTTTATTGGCCATTCTTTGGGCCATGTCCAGGGCGTTTTCCAGCACTCTAGCACCTGCGAAGACCAGTTGAAAACCATGCGCCAGAAACCAGAAGAGCAGCTGGCAACTGCTTGCGTGCCCACAGAGAGGGCTATGCGTGCGCCATTACGGATCTAGTAGCACCTTTTCCATTTGACAAATTTTATTAAAAGGCATGAACTTTCATGCTGTCAGGTCTCTTTTTTTGTTTTTGTACCGTGCAGTAACACAGCTTTCCTCTTTGAGACTGTTGAGTTTCATTCAAAAGCAGTCAACGTTCAAGTTTAAAATTGTGACTGTAAAAAAAATCTGAAACGCTGCCTTTTGATTCACGGAATTGAACGCTGTCGTGATCATTGTTGAACATTCTGGAAATTATAGGTTCGATTTTGGTTGATCACTTTCTAAACTGATAAACGATCTTGATGTATTTACTGATATACTGTAGGAAATGGATCATAATATGCAGCAAATAAAAAGAATAATTCGACAGCAGAATTATAATGGCCAAGGCATTTTAGTCTCTAGCCAAGCAATAAAGATTTGTGCTCAATTACCAATTCAACAGCAGACAGAAATTGCAGCAGATGAATGAAAAAGAATTCAGCTGACATTATAATTCAGTCCCTGCAAAGCGCTTTTCCCACATCCTTTTCATTTCCTCTGCCTGCAATAACCCCTTGCTCACCTCCTCTGGAACATCACAATCTTGTCAGCTTTCAGGTCAGACAAGTCCAGCTTCTTTCCTTTTTCGATGACATCTGGGTGTTTGCGGACCAACAACCAGCCAATATGAGCAAAGAAAAAGCCCCTTTTTGCATTGTGGGGATCTGCATCCGTCTCAGAGAATTTGTGGTGCACACGGTGGTCTCTGGACCACTCATAAATATCATTCTAGACAAAGAAGGAGAATAATTTGAACAAGGTTTAAAAGTGGAAAGTTCTCAAGATTTACTCCCTGCCTATCCCTAAAGAATAGGGAAGAGGGAAAATATTAATAATATGATTATTAATTAAAATAATACTATTTATATACCATATTTTTTGGAGTATAAGTCGCACCAAGATTTTGAAGAGGAAATTTTTTTAAAAAAGTTTTTGCACTCTGCAGACCTCCCAAAAATAGCCCACTTTTCGTGAAAACGGGCCATCTTTTCTTCCCCCAAAAAGGGCATGCGTAGCCTTTAGGAGGCTTGTAGAGTGCTCTTGGGGGGTGGCAAAAACAAACAAAAAACAGCCTGTTTTTCACTCATTTCTGCTTTCCCCATCCCCCAGGAGCTCTCTGCAACGCTCCTAAAGGCTATGCACGGCCATTTTGGTGAAGGTGGCGCGGTTTCGGGAGGCAAAAAATGCTGTATTCAGTGTATAAGACACACCCAGATTTTCAGCCTCTTTTTTGAGGGAAAAAGGTGCGTCTTATACTTCAAAAATATTGTACTATATTTTATACTAATATATATTAGTATATTATAAAATACTAATATTAATTTAAAATATTAATATTTTTATTAATTCTTTACTCTAGGGCAGGGTTGTCAAACTCATCAGGCTGCCTCAAGGTTGTCTTTGACTTTTGGAGGGTCAGGGTGGGCGTGGCTAGCTCCATGTCACTCGTGTCAGGGGTGCCTGTGGTGGCCTGAGCACTTTGCCAGTGAAAATAAGCTCCCGAGCTCCATTTTCGGCTGCGATGGCCTCTTGCAACTTTCTGCCAGCGAAAACGGAGCTTACGAGGGCTGCCTGCAGCCAACGCAAGCTCCATTTTCACTGTCATGAGCCATCGCAGGCCAGTCCTTTGCTGTTTCCATGGCGGCCCCGCAGGCCAGATCGAAGCACTCCGTGGACGCTTTGACTTTAACACCCCTGCACTAGGGTAAGCAGAAAGTATCTCGTTTTAATTTTTAAGTTTTTATTCTATTTTAATTGTTTTTTGAACTTTTGTTGTATTGGAAGCTGCCCAAAGCCGCTATATAGTGAGATGGGCGACATAGAAATCAATAAGTAATAATTTCCATTTGATCAAGTCGCAGGATGATGTTGGCTACCTGATAGTTGGTGACATTTGAGGCAGCAGTGGCTGGTAGTCTTCGACAGCCATGTTCACACATTCAGTCAAAATGTTTTGAAGATTGACATGAATTTTAATGGAATGTAAATGCTAGTTTATAGCTAGCTCTAAGCCTAAATTAATGAAAAACTGAGTGAGCAAAACGCAAACTGGAAACTTGTTTATAACAATACAGGAGGAAGTTTTCATATTCTGCATGAGATGACAAGTTCTACAATGGAATTCCAGAGTCATGCTTCTTACCTGAAAAGCCATGGAGTTGATTATGGCCAAGAATATTCGAAGAGGTACAGTGGCTTTGTAAGACCGGTGACTCCAAAGTCGATGTGCTCCAGCTGTAACTCCAAGACCACCCAAAATGAAGCACAGAAGAGCTGTAGAAGATAAAGGGGAGGGGGGAAACTGTCAAAAGGATATAACCCAGTGGTGCAATTCAGCCGGTTCTATCTGGTTCGGCCGAACCAATAGTGGTGGCGGCGGGAGACTCCGCCCACCCACCTGGACGTCATCACATCCTGTATTTTATGCCCAGCGCATGCGCGGAAGGTCCTGCATATGCGTGGAGGTGGCGCGTGCAAGTGAAGCAAGCTCATATTTGCGAACCGGTAGCGAAGGTAAATTGATTTCACACCTGATATATCTGATAGTAAAATTCAGGTATAGCTTTCATCACTCCAAAGAGACCCAATTAAAAAAACCTTGATTTAAAAAAGATATACTTCAGATGGAAGAAAGATTTCTGTTCAGCTAACTAACAATGCAACTTGGAAACTATCCCCTCTAGTGCACAGTTGTCTACGTTCTTTTTAGAGTCACTATCATTACAAAATCATACAAGATTTTTATATTTCCTATTCCTTGTGTAAGAATTCGATGTCTTCTATCACAGATGCTCAGAAATAAGTCCATTATCTATGGAACTCTAAGAGTCTGAACTGTATGGCTATCATGAGCTACATGACAGAGTGTTGCTTTGATATCACAAATGATTAATTATCCCACTCCAAACCACTTTTCATTATATTATCATGCTAATTCATGCAAAGTAAGTACTCATGCCAAAGACAAAATTACAAAACTTCATGCCTAGTAATTCCTTAAGAGGGTTCAGATTTTATTCTTGCATAAATCAAGGCTTTTGGAGTTTTGTTTGTTTGTTTGTGACTCACAAGGCAATCTATCTACTCAACTCAGCAGAAAGAGTTAGAAACATCTGTATCCTGACAATTTTAACTGCATCTCTTTACTCACTAGGCTTGGGCTGAAAACATTTGGAGTAAACCAGCAAAGGCTAAGATGCCTTTCTTTCAAATGAATACTGCAAACTTAAATTGATGCCACCTTATCTCAACTACCTTGAGGGAGCTGAGGGACTGGGACAAAGTCTTCTTTCACACATCACAGATCTCCTCTACTCATAATCACTTGGAAAGAGGGGAGCACCATTCAAGGCTTGTGTAAGGGGTCTTTGAACATTCTGAAGAAACTGAGTGGTTATCTTTCTTTTTGTGTGTGTGTGTTCCAGAATAACTCTGGAATGTCTCCAGCAATTTCAACCAAACTTGGTACACACGAATGACTTACTCTCTGGAAAAAATACTGTGGGGGTAAGACACCCCTAATACCCCTTAGGGTGTGTGTTCTGCTAAGATACATCCTGTTGTGCCTTAAATGGCTTCTACTGTACTGCCACAGTGGAGTTGCCATGGTAATGTCTCCACAGTACTCCACAAGGGGCTCCATCTGGTAAGGGGGAAAATCAAACATTAGAAATTACGTTTGGTTCGGACATTTTCCTCCTATAAATAAATACCCAGGCAACGCAGGGTTATCGGCTAGTGATTCATAAATAGGAAACACTGGGAATAGAATTCTAGATAATCCACATCTTGCTACCCAAACAAGGGGCAGATGTCAATCAAGAAAGCCTTCATTTGACATTACTACTTTGGGGAACCATTGAGCAAATGGACATGCCAAGTCTGAGCACTGGATTTCAGCTGCAACTATTTTTTATGAGCCTGAACCTTACATTAACGCCACTGGTTTGAAAATAAGCAAAAAGAATTTGCAAAGAAAAAAAAGAAAATCAGGCAATATTATAATCGGCAACAACTCCTGTGTTCCTTTCCCGCACAACGTCCCAAGGTTACAAATTTTTCCAGGCTCACGGGATTCATTCAGTAAATATTGAAACATGCAAATTAATGTATAAAGCAATGCTTAATTAGCTATCTTTCTAATTACATCTGAATGCTGAATTAAATAACGTTGGATTTTAAAAGCAAAAAATTCCAAAACTTCCTGTTGCCAAACAACAAACTGAAAACCTCTATTATTGGTAAGTTTTTGCAACACTTCATTCCAACCTATCCCACAAAAAACAGTTGTGTAGAACAAATAAATCTGGAAAAGAAGGAATCATCAGCAGTTCTCAGAATAAAAAAGGTGAAGGTTCCCCTCGCACATATGTGCTAATCGTTCCTGACTCTAGGGGGCGGTGCTCATGTTCGTTTTAAAGCCGAAGAGCCAGCGCTGTCTGAAGACATCTCCATGGTCATGTGGCTGGCATGACTAAACATCGAAGGTGTACAAAACCCTGTTACCTTCCTACCAAAGGTGGTTCCTATTTTTCTACTTGCATTTTACATGCTTTCAAGCTGCTAGGTTAGCAGAAGTTACGGGAGCTCACTCCATTACGCAGCAGTAGGGATTTAAACTGCCAACCTTTCTGATCGACAAGCTCAGTGTCTTAGCCACTGAGCCATATCCATACAAATAAAACAAACTGGTTTAACAAGACACAGTTCAATTGTGAGACAATTGAAAACCATGCACTTAAGCTTGAAAAACCAAATGCATTGGTATAGAATAGGTGGTACCAGGCTCAATAGTAGTAACTGTGAGAAAGATCTAAATGTCCTACTGGCATTAACAGAAGGATAGCATCAAGATCGTGAGAAATGATGGTATCATTTTCTACCGCACTAGTGAGGCCACACTTGAAATACTGCATCCAGTTCTAGTCACCATGACACAAAAAGATGTTGAAATCCTAGAAAGTGTACAGAGAAGAACAACCAAGTCAATTAAGGATCTGGAGGCTAAATCACGGTTTGAACAGTTGAGGCAGGTAAGAATATCTAGTCTATTAAAGAGAAAGATTAGGGAGGATGATAACTGTCTTCCAGTACTTGATGGGCTGTCACAGAGAAGGGATTGACTTATACTCTGAAACAGCAAAGGGCAGGACAAAAAGTAATGGGTGGAAACTTGAAGAGAGATCCAACTTAGAAGACATTTTCTGATTTTGAGAACAATGAATCAATGGGACAGTTTGGCTCTTAGAGTTATGGGTAGTCCATCACTGGAAGTTTTCAAAAATAAACTGGACAACCATTTGACCAGGATGATTTAAGGTCTCCTGCCTTGAGCAGGGGGTTGGGCTAGAAGATCTCCAAGGCTCTTCCAACCTTATGATTTTCTGTTCTCATTCTGCAAGTCCTAGGAAGGAAAAATCCTAAAGCTAGTGATTTATAAACTTTGTTTCGTCCAGTTCATTCAACAGGCAGCAATAGCAATAGCAGTAGACTTATATACCGCTTCAAAGCACATTGCCCGTTTTATTTATAAGAAAAGGCATATTCCTTTTTTGGTCAGGAAAACAGACATTCAAAATGATTTACAGTATCTTAAATGATAAAAAAAATGATAACCAAAGTATTAAATAAAAACATAAGAAAAAACAATCTAAAGAAAATAAACCATGAACAAGTGTCAAAATAAAACATTTTTAATTTCATTTACTTTATTATGCCTTGACTGACACAGTACAAAACCAATAATATATAACGTGAATAATTAAAAACTAAAAACTAAAGAACAAGAAAAAGAACAAAACCAAGATGGTGATATGGTCAACTATCTATGGCTGTTTAAAAGCCTTCATTGTGGGCTAGGGAAGCAGATGGTTTTACATATCATATGGTGGATTATTATTTAAAAATTCACATAACATTATAAATTTTAGAATATTTGTCAAGTCATAGTGCTGAAATCCCTGTAACAAAGGGGCCATTTATGCCTCTGTGGCTTAGAGAAAATGTAGAAATTTAGGCTATCTTCAAGCCCCAGTTGGCTCTTTAAGATCATTGTCAAGAAAATCCCTAATAAGTAGATGAGAGCTACTCAAAAGCAAAATAGGTAGGTGGCCAGATTTCCCATTTCAAAAAAAAAGATTCCCTGAATATATTAATTATTTTACTATTCTCAAATACAGAGGCATATGGATGTGAGTAATATGGAGCCACACCAGAAATTGATGATAGTCATATCTGGTTGCTTTTCAAAACTCTTCCAGAAAAACACATTACACTTGCCATTATTTCCAGTAATGATTACATAGGATATTCCCACAGCTAGTTTCCTAGAGTGTTCTCAGATTCATTCCTGATAAATTGAAATTATACCACTGGGATATCTTTTTATCTTCTCAGAAGAAACATTTAATAAGACAATTGGGATTATCTTTTATCTTCCCAGAAGAAACATTTAATGACAATCTACATAATATGGCACTCTGAACATGAAGCAGATGTCACTCTCACAACTTTTAGGGAAATGACTTGGAAGTGGCATCAAGTTCATTTCAATAGACGTTTGTAAGAACTCAACTTCTGCTTTCATTAGAGAGAGAAAAAACAATGCTACAAAAATAGGAAATAAAAAGAGGAACATTTGGTTGGGCTATTATCCCCAAATCTTGCCTAGATCTTAGAAGTCAACTTTTCAGTAGAAAATTGTTGCCTCCATTCTCAGCATATTGGCCATAATTCCCTCCCAGCAATCTGTACTGGATTTTCAAATATTCTTCAGATCTTGTGGTATGTTTTCATATAGTCAAACTCTTTGTACTTCGCATCAAGTATAGTGTGGTGAAATGGTCAGCTATTGCAGTAGTAGAAGAAGAGATAATGGATGCTCAATTGTGAGTACTAGCTCCAGTGACTATTCATCTTTTATTATAAAGGGCAGCCCTTTATTTCAAAAAACTGTCTTTTATATTTTGCTCTTGAATTATAGGAATGGTTATAAACACACTTTTTTTATCCTTATAAACCTCTTTCAGATTTGCCCCTTTGTCAGGTTTGTCCTTTTATTTTTTTACCATGAAATATGGTAATTGCAGTATTAAACCCAGATAAAGTCATCGGAAAGAATGGAGTAGAGGATAAGGCATAGTATTTTAGGGATGACTGGGGGAGAAAGCACAGATATTTTGCCAATGTATATGTTCTGACCGAGGCTTCCCGAGGGCATGAAGCAAACTCCTTGTCCGGGCAAAAAATTTATTAATTGACTGTGAATTCTGCTCATTCACATCCAGCAAAGCCTTTCAAGGGAGGATTTACAGTCACAGACCTTATCTGGCTTGGAGAGCTGCTAGGCCGATATCTGCAAACCTTGGCAAGGAGTCTCGGAGAGTCACGAACCAATGAAGAGAACAAATTGTCTCCTGCAAACTCCACTCCCCTTTCGCTCCTCTTTTATTTCCTCTGGGAGGGGCCATTCATTGTCCACCTGTAGCCTTACTCCCAAGTCGACCCTTGTTCTTTAGCTGTTCCCTTTGTCTGGCAACTCTGTGCATGCGCACACTGGGAACAGGATCCAGCTGTTGGTCTGTCTCACTGATGTCTGCCTCTGAAAGCAGCTGATGACTGGCATACGGTTCTGGCCCCCTCTCTGCCTCGAACACAGAACCCCCATCATAGCCTTCCCCAGACTCCAGGACTGGTTCATGTTCCTCCCCAACCTCCTCACTGTCTGAATCTGCTACCAGCTCCACTGGCATGCCACAACAGTATATAAGTCTCAGGAGAAGTCTATAGATGCTATGTTTGCACAGGGCACAGGCAACAAGTGAAAGACTCCGTTTGGAAGAAGAGTTGAGGTCTAAAAACTAAAACAAAGATACGCAGGTAGAACTTTTGCTGAAGATCTCCCTCTTCCTCCAGCCAGCAAGGGCCGTTCCCTCCAATCCATCCTTTCTCCTCTCAATGGGTCTGCCTTCCTATTCCATACAGACATTAAAAACACAGCATGCTTTGTCCCCTCTCTGTCCTTGCCATGCCTGCCAATCTCTGCATTCCATTCCTGCTCTGCTGTTGCCTTCTTTCTCTGCCAGGTGATTTGTCTAATTTGTCATTCTTCCCCCTTCTCCCCTATTCCTTGTCAGGTAAAGGTAAAGGTTCCCCTCACAAATATGTGCTAGTCATTCCTGACTCTAAGGGGCGGTGCTCATCTCCGTTTCAAAGCCAAAGAGCCATCTCTGTCCGAAGACATCTCCATGGTCATGTGGCCAGCAAGACTAAACACCGAAGGCCCACGGAATACTGTTACCTTCCCCCAAAGGTGGTCCCTATTTTTTTACTTGCATTGTTTACGTGTTTTCGAACTGCTAGGTTGGCAGAAGCTGGGACAAGTAATGGGAGCTCACTCTGTTATGCGATGGTAGGGATTCGAACCACTGACCTGTGTGACATTTCTGATCGACAAGCTCAGTGTCTTAGCCACTGAGCCACCACATTTCTTGTCAAGCCACCCCTAAAGCCACCTTCCTCTTTCAGCTCCTCCTAAATTCCTTCCACTTCTCTTGTTCAATTTCTTCAATGTAGTTTTTCTTCTCTTAATCTTTACTTTTGCCAAGTAATGGAAAATGCCAGCTTTGGCCACTTTTTTTCTTTTGACTTCTCAGGGATGATTCTTGATCCATGTGCCTCTCAGAAGCAAATCAAGAATAAGATTGCCAAGCTGCTGGCCATCTTGATTGCCTTTGATCAGAAATGTTCAGGTTTCAAACATTCAAAGCACAGGGTCATTTTCCATGGTTATAACTATGGGTCTCTGCTGGCTTTTTTTAATGCGTGTCAAAAAAAGCTCAGATTTAGAACAGCCAAAGGGGGGGAAAAAAAGAATGAGCCTTAACTGAACGCTCAATTGTTCTTGCCAGTGATAAAAAAATTATAAAGGTGAAAACAGATAGGCTGAGATGTGGCTTTCTACCTAGCCCTGTATTTAGAATGCTACATGGAGTCAAAGAAGGTTGTAATTAAGATATTCTATGCCATTATGACTGTTTTAATTTCTACTTCTCAAGTAAATCCATTTCTCAGTTTGAACTGGCTTTTGTGCAATTGTTCAAACACTTAACTCGATGGAATTTCCTTAGCTGGTTCATGTGCCATTCACTCCTATCTGATGCACCCCCGTCACTCTCCCTGTACTTTGATCTTCAGGGGACAAAATGAAAAAGTGGGGGGGAGGACTCAAAAAGCCCTTGAAGTTTTTCTTCAACTGCATTTCAAGTGGGTTTTACCTCTTCCATCTGGACTGGCTTTCATCAGGAGTCCCTTATACCCCACCCCACCCCGCTTCTGCTTTTAGACAAAGAGCCAACACATTCCCTCTTAGCTACCCTTTTTAAAATTCAAATAAATTAACTAGTTACATTTACTGTTTGTCTATTGATTATATGAAAAATTAAACTGCTAGATACAAAATGAAAAATGCATATATGATAACCATCTTCCTATGTAGTTATGTATTTATTTATACAAATATTTGCAGGCCACCTACATGCCAGACTCTGGGGAGACTGCACATCTTACCAGTGAGAAATACTATGCTTGCATTTTTAGACAACCTCCACACAACATCATATCATTTAAAAACTGCCCTCTGAAAACATGGAGTAGAAAGCTCTGAGTCAGGGGTGGGTTCCTGCCAGCATTACTACCGACTCGGCCGGCGCCCAAAATTTTTTGCTCTGTGTGCATGCGCATTTGCTCCTAAAAAGATCTGTGCATGCGTACAACATAAAAAAGGGATTAAAATTACTTTTTTTTTCAATGAAGATTGTTCTGCACATGTGCAGAACAGAAAATCAAGATGGTGGCCCCGAGGATGGAACCGGTTCGGGCTCGTGTCCGGCCAAGTTATTACCTACTCGGCCGAACCGGTAGGAACCCACCTCTGCTCTGAGTGGAGAGGAACAACATCATGGAAAAGCAAAGTCTTTTCTGTCTTCTTACACTTTTGCTCAACCAACACAACTTTATAAAACCTGGACAAAGCACTTCTCCACTGAGACATTTTAGGGAGCAGGTCTTCAAAAATGATTGTTTAAAAGGCAAATCACAAACATATACGCCTCTATTTCAGTCTCCGACCACCATCTGAAGAACTTAGGAATGGTTTATGAGCTGGGAACCAGTATTTCGTGATTCATTTAACTACCTTCACTATCCTAGGGAGGATGGCTGGATACTTCCCAGAATTATCCCTGAGTATTCTATTCTGATGTGCCTGATTTCTCACAGTGAATCCTGAAGGAAATATGAATCAAATCATTGGAATGTCTGCTTGGTTGTTGACTATGGTTATGACCCTCCACATGTTGATAACATTATATCCAAGATGTATGGAAAAAAGTAGTCTGTCAGGGGTGGTATTTACTTACTTTCCCTACCAGTTCGTAAATGTGAGCGTGCACTCGCTCGATTCACTCGCACGAGCCCTGTCCGCGCATATGTGGTCAGGCCTGCAACCATCTTTTCAATACTTTGCCTTTGGACTCTGATTTACTTTTGGATGCTATTTGGAATGCTGACATACACTTGGCCTTCCGCGTATGTGCTTTGGCTTGAAAATGTGCCTAAATAGGACGGCATAGAGCTGGGGGGCAGGCCCACCTGCGATTTTCACTACCAAACTGGCTCAATACCACCTCTATGGTCTATGCTATGGTCCATTCAAGGTCCCATTCTTTACATAGTAGGCCTGGTTTTCTTGTACATATCAAAATCCAATGCCCTTCTAAAGCACTGAATACTTCTTACAAAGTTGGATATGTTTTTGAACTCAAGAGCATTCATATGGCTACCTAGAACAGCCTGTTTCTAAAGTCCACCTTCCTTCTGGATATTGGGGAGATGTTCAGAGGTCAGAAGAGAGGAAAGTAACTAACTGAAAACAGCAGAACTATGTACCAAGGACAACAAGTTGACCCAGATAACCATTTTTAGGCAACTATTTGTCCAAACTCCTAACTTGGGCTGGGGTGGTGGACTAGAAGACTTCCAAGGTTCCTTAGATCCTATGATTTTATGACTCTTCCAAGGTAAATGAGGGTAGTTTTAGCTTACCCCATGCCAAAGTGAGTAGCTTTGCAGAAGGTATGAACCAGATGGCATACAGAGCAGTTAGATGGAGAAGCAACATGAGAATAATATTCCTCCAGACGTATCTTTTTGCAGGCTTAGGACCCTCTTTCTCACGATAAGTCTCATCAAAAATGTCATCTGACATCTCTCTTTCTGACCCCATCTGCTCATAAGTGGGGTGGACTTTTTCCGAATGAGTTACGCCATTCTGGGTAATGTGAGTAAAGGCAGGCATGGTAGAAAAGTCTGGAGTAATCTGGCAAATAAAGAAAACAAACAAAAGTTACATACAAAGTCCTTCGTTGACCAAACCCCAACAACACCTTCCTTTTTTCTAGGTTCTTGATTTAAACTCTTAAAAGTTGGCACTTGTTTACAAAGCAATGAAATACTTCCAGCTTCTATGGCATGACAAGGATGGGCAATGTCTGATCTGTTAAATACTTAACTAAAGGCCATTGTTTGCATTATAACTTACATAGCTTGCTAGATACCCAATGTTCCACAGGATTTCTGCAAGCAGAAATCCCCTTGTTCCTCACGTAAGTATTGAAATATTGTCAAGAGCAGAATCAGTAACAGATTTCCCTTGTCGTTCCATGCATTTCACTAATTTGGTGCATATATATAGTCATTAGACAGTGAGATGGGTGGCATATAAATTTACATAATTAATTAATTATATACACTAGAAGGTAGAATGCAAGTCCAGTTGCATTTTCGAAAAAGCACCTTTCAGACTACCATGATCTGGATGATTGAGAATTTCCATAAACTTCAAGTCAAAAAAAGCACTGACAGACTCCACAAATGTGCCTATGAAGTCAGTAGGTGTTGATTATTATTTTTATTCTTATATCTCACTCCAAAGCACTGAGAAGACTGTTGTTGTTTTTACTTAATTAATTAACATGCTTGTAAACAGTTGAGCCTAGAAGAATGCTGCCATAAGCCGTTTACAGTCATTGAGAAATGGCTATGGAAACAGCTATGGAAACTGAATGAATGAATATGAAAAAGAATGTCTCTCCTCACATTATTGTTAGATACTGAGATGAGATGCAAAAATTACTATGGGTCCTATCAAGCAGAAAAGGGATGTTTAGATTGCACCAAGCTGGCTGGGAAGATGAAAACAAGCATTAATCTCTCACCTTTAAGTTATAATTATAGTGAAAACTATTTCCATTCAAAGCAAGAATCGGAATTCTTTGCAAGTGGAAAACTAGAAAGGTTTGTATTTAGGCTGAGTTTGTTTTAACAACACTGGAGAAAATGTAAGATATAAAGGGAAATTAAATTTGAATCAATCAGGACTACAAGTGCTTTTCAAACTTGGCAACTTTAAGATGTAGGGACTTCAACTCCCAGAATTCCTCAACCAGCAGGCTGGGAGTTGAGTCCACACATCTTAAAATTGCCAGTCTGAAAGAGTACTCTACACATTTATCTGGAGCAGGGCTCTCCAAATTTGGCAACTGTAAGACTTGTGGACTACAATTCCCAGAATTCTCCAGTCAGCACAACCAGCTGAGGAATTCTGGGAATTGAAGTCCACAAGCCTTAAAGTTGCCAAGTTTGGAGACCCTAGATCTGGAAGGAAGCCCCATGGAATTCAATAGGTCTTACTTTGGGGGGGATAGATAAGAGAGGGGGGAAGGGGGGGAGAGAAAGAGAGATTATTGTACTGTAATTGAATCTTTAGAGAAAATATTGATTTAGTCATTTAATCATATCAAAAATATAAAACTAATACACTATATTATGCCCAGTGCTTTTAGAAACCGAGTTCATTTTTAGGAGATAGCAAAGGGCTGTTATTCAGAAAAGATGAGTAATGCTTTGTAACTACAGGGTACAGTAGTTCAAAAATTTAGACTGGTTCCTTTTTTGCCCCCAGGCCTCCTTCAGCTCAGGAAAGCTGGTGCCAGTGCTGGGCATGGCCCAACTGAAGCAACAAAACAGTCTCCAGCCCTAGCAGGTGAATTGGCTGCTTTCCCTTCTCAGGAAATGTAGCAGAGCTAGGCCAAAGCCACAGAAAAAAAGGTTAGTTGGCTGTTTTCAGTGCAGGGTAGATAGTTGCTGGTTGGCACCGTTGCCAAAATTGGCACTTTACTCTTGCCTGCTTCTCTTTGGCATAGGAATGACATTAAGGAAGAACGTAGCTTTTCAAGCTCGCCTTAGATCAATAGTTCCCAACTTGGGCCCCACGCCCAACAGGTGGGCAATTTGATTTTTTACAGGGCAATTTGAACCTTGTTTAAACCAAGTTAATGGCCTTTTAGGCTTCCTCCGCATGAGTAGAGTTCACTTTTTGAGTAAAGTAAGAATTATATGTGGGGGGGAGGAGGCATCATGATTTTAGAGATGCTTAGGTGGGCCATGGCCAAAAAAAGGTTGGGAACCACTGTCTTAGATTTAAATGATCAGAGGTCTTATTTTAATTATAGGACTCTAGTCTAATTTAATAGTTTTTTTTAAAAAAACCTTAGCCCTAAAAGCCATAGCACAATTGAAGTCTTCTTGCTAATGTTGCAAGATGTGGAATTTTCTTTGCCATTCTCATGCTAGTGTGGGGCTGGCTCCCTCATAGTGCTTCCCAGCTGTGCCATTTCAGAAATGCAGACATTCAAGGTTGCTGCTCCCTCTTTTTCTTTTTCCCTGATTTTATATATATATATATATATCAGGGAATATAT